CATGTTGATATCTTAATAGAGTTTTTCCATAAATATTCCCAAGATGACATAGTCACCTCCTTATTCATATTTACCGCCCATTTAAGCATTTGTTCTTTTACTGACTCATCTTCTGTAAACCATTTTAACAAAACTTTATACAAATTTGATATCATTTTTTCCCTTTTGCCTCCCACACCCCTTCTATTTCATTTTTTCCTCTCTAAAGCCATATCTTTTTTTATCAGTTCTAAATAAATCCACAATCTGTGCATAATTCAACCAGTCATATTTAAAGTCTAGCTCTTCTCGCTTTCTCATCACAAAGTCTTTACCGTCTTTTTTCAAAATGTCTCTATATGGCAACCAATCTTCGCCTTTGTGTCTCGAAAATGGTGTAATTACTTCTGCAGGAACAATCCATAATGGTCTTGCTTCATAGAAAAATCTTCTGTATCTCACCCAAGTCCCATATAGTGATCTTCTCACAAAATGATGATTAAAAAAATTATCCGCTTTTGTCTTCTCGTACCAAAGATAGGCATGCCAGCCAAATCTGCAGTCATGCCCTTCCAGTGCCAACAGTTATTGTCCAAATTTATCCATTGCTCAATCCAAGTAAGGCAAATCGCTTCATAATAAAGTCTAAGATTCGGTAACTGAAATCCTCCTCTTTCTTTAGCTTCACAAAGAATTTTCATTTTAATCCTTGGTTTTCTTCCTGCCCATACAAACTTTGAGATTTCTTTTTGCCACTGAGTTAACACTTTAATTTCTTTCAATATCGGAATGGTTTGAAATAAAAACATTATACGAGGTAACACATTCATCTTTACCACCGATATTCTCCCCAACAGTGACAGATTCATAGTATCCCATTTTTTCAAATCTTGCTGAATTTTTATCCAAAGTTTCTCATAATTATTCTTATAGAGGTCTATATTTTTCGTTGTCAAATCTATTCCCAAATACTTCACCTTCTTAACTACTTCACATTGTAATTGTTCTTGCAATTCGGCTTGTTGTTGTGTTGTCATGTTTTTACATAGCAGTTTTGACTTTGTCTTGTTAATATAAAATCCTGCCAGCTCACCAAAATCTGTTATTCGTTGAATCAAAAGCGGTAGATTGTCTCTTGGATTTTCTGTTAAAAACATCACGTCATCTGCAAATGCTCTATATTTATATGAGTAGCCTTTGATATTCAAGCCCTTTATATCCTTATCTTCTCTTATCTTTGCCAACTATACTTCTAAGACCCAAATAAACAGTAAGGGGGATAGAGGACAACCCTGCCTGGTTCCTTCTTGTACTTTAAAATATGAAGTAAGGTCTTTGTTCACGTTCAATGCCGCTCTTTGATCCGAATATATTGCCTTAATAATATTCATAAAGGGTTGGCCTATTTCCATTTTCTCCAACATTTGAAACATAAAGTCCCAATTTAAATTGTCAAAGGCTTTTTCTGCATCTACAAATAAAAATGCTACTTCTTTTTCTGGATGTTTGTCATAATATTCAACAGCATCGATCACCATTCTTAAATTGTCTCTGATTTGTCTATTTGGCAAAAAACCAGCTTGTTCTTCTGAAATTACATCTTTTAAATACTTCTTTACTCTCTCAGAAATTATTTTTGCAAACAACTTATAGTCATTATTCAGGAACGATATCAGTCTGTAATTTTTCACATTTGTTAAGTCTTGACCTTCTTTTGGAATTAGTGATATATTGGCATCTTTCCAAGTGTCTGGTATTATTTTAGTTTCTCTTATTTCATTCGATAGAAGTCCAAAAATTGGCGTCAGCTCCTCTTTTAATTTTTCATAAAACTTTGCTGTAAATCCATCTGGACCCGGAGCTTTCCCCAACTTTGTATCTTCTATTGCTTTAATTATTTCTTCTTGCTGAATCATTCAATTCAACCATTCTTTACTTTTTTCCATAATCTTTGGCAACTGCACATCTTGAAGATATTTTTTAATTTTTCCTGGATCTACATTCTTTTTTTGAAACAATTTTGCATAATATAGAATACTCTCTTAAGTCCATAAGGATCTATTATTTCCTTATTGTCATCTATTGCCATGCCAAAAACTTTCCCGGTTTATTTGCTCCTTCAAAAGATTTCTGTTGCAATTTCTTTAAATTCCAGTACATTTCTTGATTTAGACTCTCGTTAAGTTGTTCACGCAAAATTTGTAATTCTCTAATTATCTTCTTTTTACCAGGCTTTTTAATTAACTCTTTCTCTTTCTGTTGAATCTTATCTAATACTTCCCTCTGCCTGCTCATCTTTTCCTTTTTTTCTTTAACATTCAATGATATAAGTAGGCCTCTCATTACAGCATTATAGGCATCCCACACTGTTTGTATTGATACTTCTTGGTTTAAGTTATTCTGGAAGTAGTTTACAGTCTCTTTACGTAGTTTCTCTATAATCTGCATCTTATCTAGTAAGTCCTCATTGATTCTCCATTGAAATTGCCTGGTTTTTTCGATGGATATCCAAATCAGTGGATTATGGTCTGAGATATACCTTGGCAAAATTTCAATCCTCTGTGTTTTCAATGCCAATTCTTCCGACATCCACATCATGTCAATTCTGGAGAAAGAGCAATGTCTATTGGAATAAAAAGTAAACGTTAATATTCCATTTTCTCCATACATCTTCCAATTTTTCTTGAACTACCATTTCAAAGAAAGTTTTCGGTAATTTCCCAATTTTCTTGTCCCCTTTTTTCGATTGTCTATCCAATTTGTTGTTTACTGTGCCATTAAAGTCTCCCGCCAATATCACCTGTTCATATGTCAGTTGTTCCAGCTGTCTTGTCAAGTCCTTTAAAAAAGTCTCTTTCGCACCATTTGGCGCATCTAAATTAATTATCAAAGTCTTCTTTTGGTGCATTACAATTTCTACTCCGATATATCTCCCCTCAGCGTCTTTAATTATTTCTTTTGGTTGCAAATCTTTATTAACATAAATCACAGTCCCTTTTTTCTTTTTAGAGTCCAACGAATAAAATTCTTCTCCTAATTTTTTATTTATAAGAAATTTGGCATCTTGTTTTTTAATATGAGTTTCCTGCAAACAAATTATATTATATCTTTGTTTCTCTAACCAATGTTTAACGACTTTTCTTTTGTTTGGCGAGTTTAGTCCATTCACATTCCAAGATATAAATTTGTAATCCATGGTAATTTGTATTAAATCTCTCCAAATTCTTCAATATTGTCTGCCTTAAACCTAAACAGTTCTTCGACATTTTTGATGACATATCTTGATCCTTGATAGGTGAAAGACAGCCCTTCTAGTATTTCCCATCTGAATCTAATTTCGAGTTGCTTTAATTTGTCAGCCAGCTTTCTGTATTTTCTTCTGTCTTGAAGAACCGCCCTCGGAAGCTCTCTCATTATAATTATCTGCTTTCCATCTATCTCCAATGGTTCGGTATATTGCTTTTTAAAAATGTCTTCTTTCATTTTTTTTTGTAATCAGTTGTACAATCACGTCTCTTGGTAAATTTTTCTTCTCTGCATATCTTGAGTTAACTCTGTATATTAAATCAAATCCAAACTCCAATTCTCCTTCTTCGGCTCCCAGGTACTCTGTTAATGCTGTTTTCACCACTTCTCTTATATCTTCATCCGTCTTTTCTTCAATTCCTCTTAGTCTCAGATAGGTTTGCATTCCTCTGTAGTCCATCATGGTCTCCAATTTTCGATAGTCATGGGTTACTACCTCTTGTTTCTTGACAATGTGTTGCACTTTTTGTTCCAATTCAGATGTCGAAGTTGCCAGACCTTGAACTTCTTTCTTAACCTCTACCACTTCTTTCTTAAGCTCTGATACTTCCGAGGTAACTAATTCTTTAATAGCTGCCAAGCTCTTTTCTTGTACTCCCTCCAGATGCACTATTTGCTGTTCCATATGTTTTCCCAATGTTTGAATCGCTTCGGTCATTCTCTTCTCCATAGCTTCTATTGCTGCCTGCCATTCCTTTTTGTCCTTTGCCGACATCTTGGGGCTTGATGTAGATGCAGCCCTTGCTCTCTGTCTTAAATCCGTTTTGAAAAATTTGTCAAAAATTTTACTTTGATTAAAAAAAAACTTTTATATTGTCCAAATCCTTTCTATGCGCTTAATCAAATCACCTTACTTTCGCGCCTCAACTGTATTTAAGCGCTTAAAAAATAAAATTTAAGTCTTAGTCCTCCTCAAAATGTCGGGTGCAATTTCTCTATGGAATTGTGGCTAGAGTAGGCACTTTCTTTACCTTGCTGACTTCCTGTACGACCGCTTATTCGCACTTCCAGAGTAAGGCTTTTCGCCAACCGATCACCTTCTGGTCCTCCAGGAATCGCCCGGTGCCTCTCTGTCTTCTGTCTTGACTTTCCAGTGCACTATTCCAGCCGGAGCTTTTCAAATGCAACACCTTCCTCTTTACTCTCGCGATCTTTCGGGGC